TTTTGGTGTCATTTTCTTATATCTGTACGTTTGGTTTCTACTTTTCTATTCATAATTGATATAATTGACCGCAGTGATGGAGAGAGCGACTTGAGGGTCTGGCGGAGGAACGCCGCCGGCTCTCTCTGGGTCAAAGGTCGCTCTCTCACGCCGTCGGTCGCTGCAGGACGGCGGGCGACCATCTGCACCGACGGAGACTTCTGAACGAAGGCCAAATGCGAAGACGCATAATTACATTTTGACTTCTTCTGTGTTTATTGACACGGTTGAGCTCATTCAGCTTTCACCATCAGAATAGTCCCGATTTCCCCCCTCAGTTAAGTCTCCAGGCTGAAAAGTCAAAATAAAAGTATTTTATCTACTTTTTTTCTTAGTTATGCATAAACAGGAATCATTCATCGACTGACCTCTGCAATGGACACAGAGCTACAAAAAGCTGAGCCTTAATAATCTATCAATCATCAATTGCAGTCGTGAGATGGAGCATCCAGACCTGTATTGAGATGAAAGGGACTCTCAAGGGATCCCAATGAATCTGTTTCATCTTAACAATGAACTCAACAACGATGTCACGCATCAACAGCTTTTAACGTTGGGAAAATTGCTTGTTTAGAATTCTTGTGCGGCTCTAATTGATTCTGATGGGTATTTAATGGCCAATAGGAGGAGGCCACCTTGGCGTGCGATGTGTTCATGCCTTTAAATGAAAACATAATATGTCTGTGTTTGCAGATGATCTTTTAATCTCAAAGGACAATGAGTTTAATTTTTTTAATGTATGTTCCCCCCGTTGACTCCCAGCGTCTCTTTGGTTTGTTTGTTTTGAACCACTTTGAGTATTAAGCCCGACGTGAGGTAACGTCTCACCAAAGGCCTCGTGGCCGAAAAGTTAGTTTCAAAAACGTACTCTAATCTTCACGGCTACAATCAGCCGAGCTGATTCCCTTCTGTAGTTTCCCCCGTCGCCGTAGTGGCGTTCATCTTCATTACCAGCCATCAATGTCTTCTCTTTTAAGTCAGGGTAAATGTACGTTTTAGCCTTTTTGATGAGCTTTTATTTGCACTGAACTCATATGTTTATCTGTACATTTACATTTACAGTTGGTTTGAAAATCAGGCATTCAGAATTCCACAACTACATAAAAACCTGGATGAGAACGTCCTGAAAATCCAGATTCAAAATGAGAAAACAGCAGCTGAAACACATCAGCGTCCCCGTCGGGGTCTCCGCCCTTACTTTGGGAAACGTTGACAGCCTCGGCGGTCTTGACACAACAGCGCGGCCGATCTGAGTCAGTCAGTCCGACATTTGTCCCATCAATATTTAACGTCTCCCTGCTCTCCTCCCTCCGGTCTCTTCCATCCATAACTGCTCTCTTTACACTCTGCTGCCTCCGCGTACGTCTCTGTCTGATCTCCTCCGCACCTTTGTGTCCTCTGTCCCTCTGGTTCTGTTACACGTGGACACGTTTAACGCCTTTTGTCTCATCTGGTGTTCAGATTTGTCGGATCTTGCATCTGTTTAATGTGTCTGTCTTCCACCTTTCCTCCACCCACATCCCTCAATCTCCACCCACATCCCTCCATCTCCTGATTCATCTCTCGTCTCTGGACTTCCTTTCCGTCCCCCCCTACGCTCTCCAGGTCCACCAGCAGATAAATAAATCATGTTGAGGAAACTGGACGCTTTTACAACTACGGCGGCGCTCCCTCCTCCGTCCTTCCGTAATGTGGAAACCACCTCCCCCGAAATCTCCCTTGTCTCTGGGCGTGCGGGTGGAGGATGTAACCGCCGCGCTTCTGGGTGTAAATAAATCATAGCGGCGCTCTGCTTTCAGAAGCAGCGACCCTCCGGGCGGCCGTGGAAGAGAGACAGGCGGTCTGAGGACGCGTTGGTGGAGGAGAAGGTCTCAGTTGGTGGAGGAGAAGGTCTCAGTTGGTGGAGGAGAAGGTCTCAGAGGAAATGGTGGATGTAAAAGAGTCGTTTTCCTCTTTCTTCCTGAACCTCAATGAGGCGAAACCCTTCAGCCAAAGAGGAACACGCAGCCAAACCGTCACCGCCTTATGACACGAGTCAATAGTTTATTTTTGATACTTTAAGAGTATTTGTGTGAATTCATTTAAAGGAGCTGCAGAACAAAAATGTGGCAAGTTGATTTCATTTAGATAAATTGAACGCGTTCCTGTTTTTAATATAGAACAAAGACAAAAGCTTTTTAGATGCATTTCACTTTGTGCTGCGTCAAATATTGATGAATCAAATCTTTTCGAACTCGGAATTTTAAACTATTGAATTCATGACAAAATGATGACAAGATTAATAAAACTAAAATCCATTTATAAATGAGCTCTACGCCTAAATATTCAGCTTTGCTTCTGTGGAACACGTTAAGCAGCCGAGATGGAGCCCAGTGTACGAAGGAGCAGCGGCTAATTAAAAAATGACCAGATTAATTAATGTGGAGATTCGTTAGTGGCAGAGTGCTTCTTTCAATTAGCGCACTAAGTGAACACAAGTGGCGGAAACACGCGTGTAATCTGCCTTCCAGCCAACACGCAGGCTCTTAGACCACAAACGATCACATCTAAATATGGAAAAGGACCTTTGCAAACAATTGGAAAGTCTTAAATCCCCTTCAAGCATCAACGGGACACTTGAGAGCAGCAAAGGTGGTGAAAATCTGTAACTGGTGAATTATTCATAAAACACACACACATGAGCAGAAGGCACAAGCGCACACACACACACACACACACACACACACTCACAAGCACATCCAGCCAGTGAAACCCACATATTAATGCACATTACACTCATTTACTTGTGTACATTTTACAGCCCAAATCCAAACCCCACAAATAATTACCCTCTAAATCCTTTACATTACACCAAACAGGGCTTTCATGTGCAAATAAATAGATTCTAAATCCACCTGTTCATCATTATTTCAATTAACCAATGAATTTTCTATGAAATATTCATGTAAAAACTAGAACAAAGCGACATTTTCAACTGCTTGTTTTGTTCCACCGACGTTCAAATATACATTTTAAATGATGAGAAAAGCAGGAAATAACAATGTTGGTTTGACATTTCTGAACACAGACCTAACTATTGATCGACTAATGCATGAAATCACGTTTCAACTCTGACCTTTAGTTAAAACCTGAACCAACCAGCTAGAAGTGCTTTGAAGAGGCCCAAACTAGTCCCCACAATGATGGTGATATAAGGCCACACACACACACACACACACACCTGCCTGATGGTGCAGTCACATGACCTCTCATCACTTGTTTTTCTATCATCCCATTTTGTACTTTGTACCCAAGGAACCGAACAGATGTGTGTGTGTGTGTGTGTGTGTGTGTGTGCTTGCCTACTATACAATTGACTACATCTGTGCATAAGTGTGTGTGTGTGTGTGTGTGTGTGTGTGTATATGTGTTAAGATCCTTGAAATGAAGATCAGACTCGTCGCAGAATTGCTTACTGTCATTCATGCCCTTTGCACACACACACACACACACACACGCACCTGGCTTTATTAAAACGTCACGTCGGGTGGATCTACGGCGTGCTGTCGTGCCGCGGGGCTGTGAATCGGAACGGCGGCGTATTTACAGCGAATTGTAAAATCGCGGCGAGCACTCAGCTGTCAGAGACTTATGAATTGCTAATATGTCGTATCTTCCCCTCTCCGCGGCCCGAACCCGCTGCTATTGTGCGCTGAGCAAAGAAGTGAGGCGAGCACATGGAGGAAGATAACTTATATATAACTTATGTATAAAATGAAGTGAAAGGGACGGCGCCGATCAAAGGCGATACGATGGGAGCTTCTGCTGCGGCATTTTGGGGTAAACTCGAGCCGATGAGACACCCGTCCACACCAGAGTACCTGCGGCGTTCGGTGAGTGTGAGCTGCTTCCTGCTCTCTTCAGTCATCCACGCGTCCTCGTCGTCTCCCTGAGGTCTTACACGCGGGACGCGTGGGGAGGACACGGGGAACACAAGTCTGCACCGTCGTGTGTGACGATGAGACACACACGACCAATCATGTGCTTCAAGTTTTATTCTTCATTATTGGGCCGAAACAACTAAACTCTTACGAGATCTTCAGACCATGAGAATCAGTAACTGCGAGTTGTCGTTATATTTACAGCCCAAAGCTCCTCATTCAGCCGTCCCCCCTCACACCCACGAGTCATCGCGCCCTTTGTGCTCCTCCGTCTTTGTCTTCGTCTCTGCCTCGTCTCACAGCTCTCTAATGAACACGTCAGCATCAGCCTGAAGACCAACGCAGCAACCGATCAAAGCAACTTTCAGCTCCGCGTTTCAGCTCAAATCAAGACGCACACGTAAGGGAAACGTGTGCGTTGATTACAATGAACTGCGGTTCAGCTGCTCAACCCACAAAAGAAGCAGAGCATCTGCTGCTGTGTGAGGACAAATGCACGCGCGCACACACACACGCATGCACGCGCACTTTTACCGACACAACATCCCGCGGTGGCCAGTCACACCTGTGAGGACAGTGACAAATGAGCAGCTCTGCAAATCACACACACACACACACACACAATCACACAAACAGCTGGATGCAAATGCATGAAGGTGTTTCCATCGGCGTGCGGAGAGAATCGCTCACACGGACCACGGCGCCGCACAATCTGTGTGCGTGTCAAATAGTGTGAGTCAAGGACATCACTTTTCCTACGGCGATGAACAGGTTGTGCTTCATCGTCAACGCACACAAGCAGACACACACACACAGAGAAGACGATTCACGGAAAACACGGCGAGACACACGGCGAAGTTTGAAGCTCTCCTTCCGCTGAAGACACACGGGAGACGAACAGGCGAGATAGAAAAGTGGATCAGAGGAAGACGCGGAGGGATGAAGAGTGACCGAGAGGCAGACGAGGGGAGAGAGAGGGAGCGAGAGACGAGGGGAGGAGACAAGGGAGCAGGAGAGGAGACAGGCTGGTTCTCTACTCACAGAATCTCCAGATCGCGCAGCGCTCGGAACGCTCCATCCTCGATGCAGCCGATGTGGTTGCTGTCCAGTTGCCTGCACCAAGCGCACAAACACACACACACACACACACACACACACACACAGAGGAGAGGGGGAGAGAGACACGGGAGAGAGTCAGGCGCAAGTCAGCAAGGTCCGCTCAGCTGGGGGAGGGACTAACAAAAGACGGCTGGCGTGAATGAGTGTGTGTGTGTGTGTGTGTGTGAGGTGTCCCAGTGAGTGGGCTTCAGGTGGCAGGTAGGAGACACACACAGACACACACACAGACACACACTCTCTCTCCCGGCAGCCCACCAGCTCAGGTTAAGTCTCTCACCTCAGCGGCGATATGGCCGAGCCCCGAGGAGAGCAGGAGAGGAAAAGGAGGCGAGGGGAGCGGCGAGCGGGGGGCTGGGGCGGCCTGCCTGGTCTCAGCCTATCACCTCCCTCCCCCGCTGCACACTGGCCGCCGGGAGAGAGAGGGGCGAGAGAGGTAGACGCGGTGAGGGAGAGATGCCGGCCAGCCCGAGCCTTCTAAAGCCCACCCTGCTGTCAGTTTCTGTAAATATTAATTGCATTTTCTCCTCTCCGTCCTCCTCCCCCCTCACCCCGCATCCCCTATGTCCTCTTTTATACCCCCCCCACCCCAACCCCACCCCAACCCCCACCCCCTCTCTGTAGTGAAAGAGGAGTAATTTCATTACATTAGGCCAGCCAATCCATTAAGGGCCTTTTTATACCGGCCTCTGTCACTGAAACAATTTCATTAAAGAGAAAGCCTCCGTAAATCAAACTACAGTCCCGACTCTGCCTC